TATATATATATATATATATATATATATATATATATATATATATATATCTTTATTGTATATTAAGACATAAATATATAGAAAAACATTTTAAAGATAACTAAAACAACTAGGTTTCAGATGTCTCTAAGATATTTTCTAGATATTTATATTGCGTGGAATGCGTAAACAGATTTAATTGTATGAGCAGGATATCTATTGTGTGTTGAGCAACTAATCTCAGTTTATATATATCTTTTTAATGGGTCTTAACGTTCTTAACGATAGTTTAATTTGTGCCTCTCCCTACCTCTAATTTGTATCTCTTCTCATCTGAATAATCTCAAGATCTTGGAACACGTGGCCTGATCATGAATTATTTTGAATAAAGAAAAAAATGCGTGCGGAAACGCTCCAGTTTCTTCTCTAAAGAGAGATAATTTAGAGATAATATAATATATAGTTATATAATAAAAATAATAACATGTTTGTTGCCATGCTTCATTCGATGAACCGTCTCCACAAACTATGTATTTTTTATATAATATAATTTAAGATACGCTTCACACACACACACACATTTCATACGCTTTTATTTGTGGGGATGCAGAAAAGAAATCTTTGCTCTATCACATACATAAGGTAAACGTCTTAGTGATTGAACGTGTATCGATAATTGAATTACTAATAATATACTTATGTTTATTAAGATGCTTATTAATAAATGAAACAAAATCACAAAGTAACTAAATATTTCTTTTCACTTATTATATTGTTTTGTACATTGAAAAGCATTTCAACAAAGAAAAATACAAAACCAATATGTCAATCATTGGGACATGTATGTTCGATCACTGGGACGTTTACCTTACGACGTTAATTTCTGGTGAGCATGTGCAACGTTGGTAATGAACATTTTAAATTATATAGATTCTGTCAATGTTTCGTTATTTTTAACACGTCTCTATCTGGTCTAAAATATTCTAAAATGTTCTAGAATGGAATATACTAAAATCATAGCAAGAATCCAGACAACATAATATCTAAAATCGGAACATAAGATATCTTAAAAATAATCTTAAAGCTCCTTAAAGACATTTATACGTAAATCGTCTGAAAGACGATTTTAAAGATGATCTCTAAGACGTATTTTGTCTCGATTTTAGACATACGTTGTTTAAACATGGTCACAAGATGATACTTGCAAAATTTGTGATACCTGCGAATAATAGACAAAGGAAACCCTAAGACGTGGTATGCGTGATTTCTCGACTGCTACGAAAGCATTCGAAAAGCAGAAATATATAGATTCAAGTTACACGTGTATACATTTGAGAGAGCAGCGTTAATTTTACATGCTTGTACGCGTCGCGACGATTAAATAAACGCGACAATATTGACCTTCTGAATCCCGATTTTTTACTTTGAAAATTTAGCGTTATTGTAACAGAAGTATAGAGGGGAAGATATCAGAGGCAGAAGTGATTAGTCAAATATAAATGATAAATAGTAAATTTCAAAAGTTCGATTTGTAAAATGATTTCACAACGGGAAACAATAAACACGTTTTATTGCAAAAATTCACACAAAACTTTAATTTTACTTGAAAGTATTTTAAAAAGCGAGCATGCCGAAATTTACCACGCAAGTTCTCGAAGTTTCGATGAGTTCATGCGAAATTGATACAACATTTTCCCAGTTTTCAGTGCTGAACGTTTCCCAACATTTTCGGTTATGTGGCGATGAGGATTCTCAGTAAACAAAGAATATTAGATCATTTTGATATTGATTTTACGTATATCTGTTAAATGTTTTCATTCGATATTTTAGAAATGTTTCAAAGATATTACCAGATAATATGATATCTTTTTGAATATCGTTAAAATATTTGAGAAATATTCAAGTGTCGAAGTTATTCGTGTGCAATACTATTGATACAACGTTAAAAACTACATAGGAAACGTTATACGTTGTTGAAAATCGTTGCAATAATGTTCGATCAATGATTTTTTGCTTACTGGGCTCTTCATTCGGATAAAACTGATCATTCGCAACGTATTCTTCATAATCTTCTATGATCAGCAGAGAGAGAGAGAGAGAGAGAGAGAGAGAGAGAGAGAGAGAGAGAGAG